TTTTGAAAATTTTCTATAAAAAAAGAGAATTTTGTTGAGAATTTTCTATAAAAAAAGAATTTTGCTGAGAATTTTCAATAAAAAAAGCATTTTCTGGAAAATGTTCTATGAAAAGAGAATTTTCTTGAAAATTTTCTATAAAAAGAGAATTTTCTATATAAAAGAGAATTTTCTCGAAAATATTCTATATAAAAGAGAATTTTCTCGAAAATATTCTATATAAAAGAGAATTTTCTCGAAAATATTCTATATAAAAGAGAATTATCTCGAAAATATTCTATATAAAAGAGAATTTTCTCGAAAATATTCTATATAAAAGAGAATTTTCTCGAAAATTTTCTATATAGAAGAGAATTTTCTCGAAAATTTTCTATATAGAAGAGAATTTTCTCGAAAATTTTCTATAAAAAGAGAATTTTCCCGAAAATGTTTCATAAAAAGAGAATTTTCTCGAAAATTTTCTATAAAAAAAAGAAATTCTCGAAAATTTTCTATAAAAAAAGAATTTTCTAGAAAATTTTCTATTAAAAGAGAATTTTCTCGAAAATTATCTATAAAAAGAGAATTTTCTCGAAAATTATCTATAAAAAGAGAATTTTCTCGAAAATTTTCTATAAAAAGAGAATTTTCTCGAAAATGTTTTATGAAAAGAAAATTTTCTCGAAAATTTTCTATAAAAAAAAGACATTCTCGAAAATTTTCTATAAATAAAGAAATTCTCGAAAATTTTCTATTAAAAAGAGAATTTTCTTGAAAATTTTCTATAAAAAAGAGAATTTTCACGAAAATTTTCTATAAGGAGATAATTTTCTTGAAACTTTTATATTAAAAACAGAATTTTTTCGAAAATTTATAAAAAAAAGGATTTTTTTTTCGAAAATTTTCTATACAAATTTAATTTTCTCGAAAATTGTCTATAAAAAGTGAATTTTCTGTAAAAAGAGAATTTGATAATTTCTAGAAATTATTTTAAAAATTTTCTCAAAAATTGTCCAAAGAATAGGACTTCTTCAAAATTTTCTAAAAAAGAAAAGATTTCTTAAAAATTTCTATAAAAAAAACATCTTTTGTCGAAAATTTTCTATAAAAAGAGAATTCTTGCGAATATTTTCTATAAAAAGAGATTTGTTCGAATTTGTTCTATAAAACAGAGAAATTTCTCAATAATTTTCTATGAAAAAGATTTTTTTTCGAAATTTTTGTATAAGAAAGATAATTTTTTTGACATTTTTCTACAAAACGAGAATTTTTACGAAAATTTTCTATAAAAAGAGGATTTTTGCGATAATTTGTTTAAAAAAGGTTTTTTTTTCTACATTTTTCTATAAAAAAAATAATTTTCTTGACATTTTTCTACAAAATGAGAATTTTTACGAAAATGTTATATAAAAAGTGATTTTTCTCAAAAATGTTCTAAAAAAGTAAGTAATAGGTGTCCAGGACGGTCCTAGGAATGTCTGAAGCTTTGGTAGATGTAGTGCTGATAGTCCCACTTGAATGCAACCAACAAGTACGCTAAGCTCCTGCTCCTTTTATAACCACTTCTGTATCTAATCCCTCTAATCTAAATGATTTTAGCAGTACAAATATGAGTTGTAATGGAAGTTGAAGTAGTCGTCGTAATATAATTTTGTTTTCCTATGTCATTTTCTCTATTTTATTTCTTAATTACTGTTACATTCAATGTACGAATGAGCACTCATTTTATAAGTGTGTGTATCTGTTTTTGTGAGAAGTTTTATTTATATTCTTCTTAAAAAAATAAAACATAATAACATACAACAGAAAAACAAGTAACATTTAATAGAAAAGAGAAATACATATAAAAATAGTATAAAAATAAATAAAATAATAAAGATGAGAATTACTTTCATGTCATCCAAACTCAATGGTCGTTGTTGTTATTAATGGCTGTGAGTTTTCTTTTTGCTCTTATTTCATTATATTATCTGTTTTTGCTTTTTTACCATCAACATTTACAAATAGCTTGTGTATGTGTATTCATACATATTTGCTAATGTTTGTGACAACTATGATTACATTTAGTCCTTTAGACGGACATACACACACATAAACATAAATTTTCCTTTAAACATTTATACATTTATAAAATATGTATGAAAGTGTGTTTTGCTAAGTATGTGTTACAAAACAGACAATTTTGCTTCGATAAAAGTGTGTTAAACATGTTAGAAGTTAGAAGCAGAGTCTAAACCTTAGACACCCTTAGAATATATGAAGTAATTTCCTTAATTAAGTTATAAATGTCTTGACCACTGTCCATAATGTATTTTACACATTCATTGTAATTCATGTTACAATTAAGAAATAATGCTACTACTAATATCAGCAACAACAACAACGACAACATTATTTAGTAGCAGCAATAGGAATTATTAATTATCATTTCTAGTAAATATTTTTCCTTATTTTTATTATTAATTAATAATAAAAATCAATTAATTTGTAGATAATTCAAGAGAAATGTTGTTGGTCTAATGGATTGTTAACATTTGTTAGATTCGGAGTGGTAAATAAATTATTTATTATATAAATAAAAATTGTAATAATAATGAAATTAATATTTATTTTCTAATACTTGTATTAGAACCTAATGTAATAGATATTTAATTAACAATTTCTTTACATAATATGACATTTAATTTATTAATAATATAAAATAGAAATTTTTGTTAAAAAGTTAAATTGTCCCTTTAATACTTTTCAACTTTGAGTCAAATGGCATAATATTGATGCAAACCTTCGTAAATAAACATGACCCCATGTACGTATAAGTAATTTAACAAACCACTCAATTTAAATGAAGTATACGCAACCGCAGACTTTAACCGCAACGAAAAATAATCCTAAATATAAATAAATAAAACGCTAAAGCAATTTACAGTTCCTTTTTTGCATATTTTTTAGGTTTATAGTATATATTTTTATAAATTGCAACTCATTAAAATCAAACCATTTTGAGAAACTTTCACATCCACACCCGCCAACACTCAAGACGTTCATTCAACTTTTAAACTAAACCTGGCAATTAACTCATACTCTACATATATTAATGTACTTGCCTTGTTTTACTTGAAAAGTGAGTAAAATTATATTTTAATGTTTAGAAAATACATCAGAGTAATAGTCTTAAAAATATACATTTTAGACGTGTTAGAAAAAAATAATGTCAAAATTAAACGATGGGACTCTTTGCGGTATTTAAAGCAATGCTTAGACAACATGTGTTGTGTTGGATGGGGAGGAGTGTAGAAAGCGCTTAAAAATTTGATAAATTTAAATTAATAGCGAAGAATAAATTTAAGTGTTACACGTAAATTACATTGTTTAGAGAGTGAAATGTAATAATTCTTACAACTCAAATAACTATCTAACTAACTAACTAACTAACTAACTACTACACTAACTACACTAACTAACCACTAACTAACTAACTAACTAACTAACTAACTAATACTAACTAACTAACTAACTAACTAACTAACTAACAACTAACTACGAACTACTAACTAACTAACTAACTAACTAACTAACTATACTAACTAACTAACTAACTAACTAACTAACTAACTAACTAACTAACTAACTAACTAACTAACTAACTACTAACTAACTAACTAACTAACTAACTAACTACTAACTAACTAACTAACTAACTAACTAACTAACTAACTAACTAACTAACTAACTAACTAACTAACTAACGAACTAACTAACTAACTAACTAACTAACTACTAACTAACTAACTAACTAACTAACTAACTAACTAACTAACTAACTAACTAACTAACTAACTAACTAACTAACTAACTAACTACCTAACTAACTAACTAACTAACTAACTAACTACTAACTAACTAACTAACTAACTAACTAACTACTACTAACTAACTAACTACTAACTAACTAACAACTAACTAACTAACTAACTACTACTACAACTAACTACTAACTAACTAACTAACTAACTAACTAACTAACTAACTAACTAACTAACTAACCTAACTAACTAACTAACTAACTAACTAACTAACTACTAATTGTCGAAAACAATGTTACCAGATAGGAGATCGAGCCAAGCGGAAGTCGTTCATATTCCGCAATATATGAATGTAAAACTGATTGGACTGAAAATGACTCCAACAAAAGCTAATACATTTGCTGGTGACCACAAGGAAATTAGATCGATATCTAGGACCGTATTAGACTGAAAATGGGGCTTAACCGAGTAATCTCGCAGATATTATATATCACAAGGATACCAGTCTACTCGGGAATAATAGAGCAGGACGAGAAGTCCAAGGTAAGTTTTATGATACGTATTCTTAGTGTACATATGATAAATGTACAAAATTGGACTAGAGCAGAGTAAAACTCTACAACACTTAATCTATTTCTGACAGGTTTTCATCGAAAATATTTCGAAATCAGAAAAACTGTTGGGTAAGTTATAAGGAGTAGACCCAAGAAATTGAGCTTCTGAACATTGGACGGTAATTGTTTCCATAGATCGCTATATAAATAAGGGGTTTCCATCAACAGCAGACGCATAACTAACTAGCTAATATTTATATTATTTTCTTGAGAAAATTTTCAATAAATTTTCTTTTAAAATTTGTTGATAAAGCATCTTTATATATAAAATTTACAATAAAATTTCTTTTTATTAAAAATTTTCAAAAAATTTTCGATAAATTTTCTTTTAATAGAAAATTATTGAAAATATTTTTCTGTAGTGTTGATGTTATTATTATTATTTTTTTTTTGTACGAATTATTCCCTGTCCCCCTTTAAGCTCTTGCATAAAATATGATGTAAAACATTATAATAAATTGGAAATACTTAAATAAATATTCAAATAAAATATGAAAATATAAGATTAAAATTTTACAGTAATTTTAACGCCAGTAAGAAACAGATAAAAACAAAAAAGAGAAATATATGCCACAAATGAACAAGTAAGAAAATTTAAACTTACGATTGGCCATTACGGTAAGTGGCAATAAGGTGACCGCTGCCACTAAATAGACTACAAAAAACCAGGAAGAATTCATGATGGGTCTGGAGTAAAAACAGGATTTTTTCTTATTGCTAGTGATAAGAAAACTCTTAGATATTTGAAGTTTGTCGTTGTTGCTGCTGATGTTGCTTTGTTTTGAAGAAAGTGGAAGAAGTTGATGTCGTCGTAGGCGTTGTTGTTGGCAAGGATGTGGCCATGTTGATTGTGTTGTGTTTCCGCTGGATGTGATTAATTTTTCCGCTAACAATGCCATTATAAAACTAACACACACACACACACTCAGAGATACACGGAAGCTGAAGACTAACGTTGTTAGAGGACAATTACAACATCAACAACATTTGCTTGTTATAAATATATAATACAAGTACCAGCAGTATTCTTACTCACTCACTCTCTCCTCTCTATTCCTCTTTTCCTTTTGTGTCAAACTCAGTGAAGAGGATACAGTTACCAAAACAAGGATAAATTTATGTCTTGTTTGGTTTAATTTAAAAGTCTTGTCTTTATTTCAAAAACAATTTTTTTATTTAAATTTTTCTTGTTGTTTTTGTTGTTATTTCTGTTGCTGCTGCTGCTGTCGTTATCTAAACTGATGTTTTTTTAAATTTGTTATTAAATAGAGGGCTTTATTACATTATTATTATAGATGTTGTTGTTGCTAGGACACTGCCTGCTGTCGTGTCTAATTTAACTTCGAAAGCTTCATTCACTTTAAATTATTTTTTAATTATACCAACACCGCCTTTAACTAATTAAATAATTTATTTTTTGTGTAAAATATTTTATCTTTATTTTTTTCTTATTTATTTTGTGTTGTAATTTAATTTAGTACGTTATCAATTTTAAGCAGCTGTATTTTATTATTTAAAAATGTTGCATTAATTATTAGCAAGATTTATTTGTATGCCCGCCAGAGAGAGTATGGCAGCCAAGTAGAAATTGTCTGAAAAAATTGTGTGGATTATTATTTATTTAGAGAAATTTATTAGTTGGCAATTTATTAAGAATCAGATATAAAAATGTAAACATATTGAGTTATTTTTACTTTTTTTGTTATTAAATTGCTAATGACTTTATTTTTTTTTGTTTTCCTTTCTTTTGTTGTTGTTGTTTATTTTAGTTTTATTGTTTGTTTTTATGTTGTTTTCTTTGTTTTGCTAAAGTTATATTTTGGTAGTTATTTTTTCGTTTATTTCTTTTATTATATTTTTGACACAATTTCAAAAAATGTTTAACATACTTTTAACACTTATGATATTTAGTTAGGGGAAGGATACCTACTGAGGATTTGTAAAATTTCAAAGAAAAGATAAAGAAGGTATGGGTTTTTAATATATAAAAATGTTGAATGGTTGTAGCACTCAAAATAGTGATCCTACTCCAACATTAAAGTATACCAATCGGCTCAGAGTCGATTCAGCTATGTCCGTCCATCTGTCTGTCTGTCAATCTGTCGGTCTGTCTTTCCCCGGGGGGCATGTTACCTTGGTGAAATCTCCACCTTGGTGTTATTACAATATCCTGGCGAAAAGAGCTGCTACCAATACCTCTAGTCTGCCGGGACTATAAACTGCTGATGATCAAATGTATCCTCGGTCTTTCTTAGGATTTTGATATGGGGTCAAACCAGATCGGGCATGGGGAGTAATGATTACACAAAGTAATTCACTACATGGTCAATTACAATTACTTGTAATGTGTAATTGAAAAATAACCAATTACAATTATTTGTAATTATAATTGAAGTTTTTCCAATTACAATTACTTGTAATGTGTAATTGACCAATAACCAATTACAATTACTTGTTATTGTAATTAAAGTTTTGCCAATACAATTACTTATAATTGCAATTGAAGTTTCCAATTAAAATTACTTGTAATTGTAATTTATGTATTACTAATTACAAAATTACATGTAATTATAAATAACAAAATTTACAATTACAAGTAATTGTAACTGGAAATTCTTCAATTACAGTTAAAAGTAATTGTAATTGGCAAAACATCAATTACAATTACAAGTAATTTCAATTGGCGAAACTTCAATTACAATTACAAATAATTGTAATTGGATAAACTTCAATTACAATTACAAGTAATTGTAATTAGTGAATCTTCAATTATAATTACTTCAAATGTAATTGTAATTGAAAATGTAGTCATTATCCCCCATACCTGAACCAGAGTACCATATAATCTGGCACTTTGGGTGGCCAGTTGCCCGCAGGACTTGGCAATACTTCAATTACAATTACAAATAATTGTAATTGGCGAAACTTGAATTAGAATTACAAATTGCCTGTCATTCCGTAGATCGTTCTTTATGGTCTGAGAATGAAACTGATGTAATTGGTGAACGATAGGGAAAGACTCCTCTGCCTGACAGGATTGCATTTTAAATAATGCATTCTTTCATGACATCATAAGGGTGATCACCTTCCGGTATACCGGAAGATTGATTTCACCTGATGTTGGGGTTGTTGTTTTTTCCTTGTCGGAGTTTGCATTGGGATTTAGATCCCATGCTGCCTGTCATTCCGCAACGAGGCTACTATGGCAAGAGATTAGATAGCTCGAGTACTTCAGCAAAGTGCTTGTACATGGACCGGCTCAGCCATGTACAAAAATTGCCACCTGAGTTCTTCATAGAAGGATTCAGGGGCGCATGGTAGACCGTCTCAAGTCTACCCAGTGGATGAAAATGACCACCGTGAAATAAGGCCTTCAAGCAGGTGTTCACGTAAAGCACTCGACATTCGTGACTGACAAACTTGCTTCAGGTTAATAAAAACTTACGGGGGTTTAAAATGATAAAATTTACTTATTTTAACAAGGTGTTGACATTGGAGGCAAGTACTTACCATGAACGTCCTAAGTAAGTAGTTTTGTTTTTGACAAAGATAAAAAGTCCTGGGTTGTTTGTACTTTAACACGAACTTAAAAATTTATATTTTTTTATTAAAAACAAAAACTATTTGAAGAAAAAAATGTTTTTATTAAAAATGTTCTTTATTTCTTTGCCGTTCATTGTCCCGTTCAAAGCCAAATATATTAATCCATTTTGATAAATATCTACAAAAATGTGGAAAAAAAACTTTTAGTCTTTTACTTAAAGCTTAACATTACAAGCAAACAAAACTTCTAATTTCATTGGAAACTTTTACAACTTTTTGGCTTCTGACAATGTTAAGTATTTCTCGAAAAAAAGTTCAAAAAGCTATTATCTATTATCTATTTACAGTTTAATAGATTTCTTATCTTATGCTACCGAAATAATACCAAATAAGAACCATTAAATTAAACAATGTTAATGAAAATTACCCTTGTTTAGTTTCCTGAGGCTTAAATAAACAATGTAAAATATAATAATAATTATAATAAGTATAGACAATTTCTTATAATTTCTTATGGGTTTTGCATTTATAATTGAAAAGTAGCTAGAACGCAAAATGAAAATATTTAATAAACCAGCAAAACAAAATTCAATTAAGAAGATAAATCTTAAATATTTTTAAAATTAGAATAATTCGAATGATTAATAAGTTGCATTAGCATTGGAAAGGTCTTTGGAGTATCTTTCAACACTACAGTTTACTTCATAGTCGATACTACAGTCTTAGTCCTTCAAATATTTTGCAATTTTTTGCTGGGTTATTTAAAAGTTCATGGAACTTATTTTAAAGATTCCCCCACAGAAACTGTTTTATGTCGAAAAAATTAAATGTAAATTAGGGAGGTTTGATTTGTTGTCTTGTAAACCTTGAACTGAAAAAAAAAAAATGAAGGGAACACATGCTGCTATTTGCTAGGTAAATTGTAAGTTACTTTTAATATTATTTTTACACAAAAAAATCTATATACATACTTATATATGTATGTATGTATGTAAGTATTGTTAATATTAAAGCATAAGGATGTAAAAAGATAAAATTCTATCAAAATATTGAAGGCTTTTAGATAGAGTCGATTTTGTAAAGAATCTATATTCTTCCTATAGAACGGTCTTGGAACCAATTCTTTGAATTTTCATCAAAACCCTCAAAACTGATCCTTTAAAAAAGTATTTGAACTTATTGAAACTTTAACAATGTTTCGAAATACGATCTATTCTAGTACTATTCTAAGATCTGAAGTGATTTTCTTCGAACTAATTCTGGAACTAAATTTCCAGCAAAAACATACATTGAAAAGTAATTTTCATTAGTATTTTAACCAATGTCATCACCGTGACATTGGAGACAAGTATTTAACACAATCGCTTACAAATAACTTCTTAAATAAGTGCTTACAAATAAGTGCCCGCACACAATACAAACCCGAGTTACTCGTTCGTTAGTTCGCTGTTTAGTTATTTTATTGTTCATCAAATCTGTGGGTTTTTAACAAAACCATTTATTTTATTGAATTTTATGGGAGAGCAAGAGAACAGTTTCAAAATGGCAAAAATAGTTTGGTTGGTGTTATATCTTTGGATCTAGAAGGCATGGTAAGTCTACACCTTCAATATCCAAAGATATGCTGAAATGTTCGTCTTTATATTTTTATGTTAACTACAAAAATTTTGGGAAATTGTCGTATATCGATATAAGAGGTTTTGTCAAACGTCCTCAAATATAATGGTTTTCACACAGAAAACTATTTTCTTTATGTGTGTGTATAAAAGCAGTTTCTATCGTGCGTTCACTTAAAATGAAGTACTTACTTATCTGATTATATGTAAGTCATTAAAAGAGTACTTAAGAGTAATGTAGACAGTAGGTTGTAATAATTAAATAGTAAGTAGTTATGTAAGTACAAGTAATTAACGAGTTTTTGCTAACTATCCAGCAAAAACTGGGTAATGGCTTTTAATTGTAATTACTTACCTAACAAAATACTTTTCAATGACTACTACATATCGTCTGGATTACATAGAAGTAGTCTAATAAGGTCTTACTAACAATGTGTTATATAAATACTTTCTAATTCATTAGTCATCTTGCTATTGAATATATAGAAGCTGCATACGTTTTTTCATGTCATTTACAATGACTACTTTTTCTAATTACTTGTAATCGTTTGTGGTAAGTACTTGTACCTCTAATGACATCACCGTGTTAAAATAATGACTTAAAATGCTATTATGTAAGTAAATTTTGGCATTTTTAACCCCTTAGATGGTAATGAAAGTTTTTACTGGGTAACTTCTAAATGCTAGATGTAAAAGGACTGCCTTTGTACCCTAAGGTGCAATTATGAAATTATTCAGATTGGGGGAGAATTGGGACAGTATATCACAGTTCACGCTGTGGAATTAACTAGAATTAATGACTAATTTCCCTCATAAAACTTGACAAATTATATGGATACAACAGTTTTCTCTTCAGTTTCTCAATTTGTTGTTGAATCTATTTCCTAACTTTCGATTGACAGGGAACAATAGAGATGACATGCTTCTTAATGTTAGATGTAAAAAGTGTACCAAAGTTAGGTTAACTTTGAAAAGGTTTTGTCACTTTATGATACCCTTCAACAATATTTCTTTTAGAACATAAGTTGAAGAAACAAGAAAAATAGATAATAAATTATTCAGATTCACTATAGCCTCTACTGGAAATAACGGCTAATTCGCGGACAAAATCTAACATATTTTATGGATTATATACAGCAGTTTCCCAATTCCTTGTGGAATCCAATTCCTAGATTTCCATGAACAGGGAACAACTCATACAGACGGACAAATTACTTAGTGGTGAATGTTAACAAAATTTCAGTGTTAAGTTAATTTTGTAAGTATTTTAGATTACATCTAACTGTTAACCAGTCTGTCATGGAATCCATTTCCTAGTATAATACCCTGCAAACTAGTACAATAGAAAATTATGTGCTTAATCTCCTCCACTACTTAATTTCCTTGTTCCTTGCAGTCTTCAGGTATCCAACACAACCAAAATAGTCTGGTAATATACACCGACTATCAATGCTTTAAATAAGTGAAAACTGACTATAAGAAATAACTTGGATATACATTTGAGAGATACTACAATCTTCAGTGAGCCTAAAGGACCTTTTCATATCCTTGTACAACCAGTGAACATTTTTGATCCTTCTGTAAACAGTTTTTCGTTCCCTATACGAAAACACTAAAGTTGATGTTACTCCGAAAAGTCGTTATTTTATGATTTAAAGTAACGCTGGAAATATTATCTCTATCTAATGAACCCGTTTTGTTTAGAATTTTGTTGTTGTTAGAACGTCCTCCTTGTTCTAAGGACTAAAGTCCTACTTGCAAACAATCTTCTTAAGAATATTGAAAGATAAACTTTGCCTGGGAGCTTTGTATCATTGTTTCTTAAGAAAATCACACTCACACTGGTTATCTTTTAAAATTAAGCTACTTCCTCTCGTTACCATCCAGCTTTAACTTAAAACTGTTAAGTTTCCGTTTACTATCAGGATTGATATTTCTTATTTTATTTCAAAATATAATTCCTGGAAATTGGAAATCATTCCTCGCTTGCATTTTAAACAATTACATTAAAACACGCAAACAGCAACAACAGCAGTAGGAGTAATAGCACAACATGACAGAGACGAATGAAGAAAAACTTATTGATAAAGTTTTCGATTTTAGAAATTATTTTACTTTCATATTGTTTGCTTTTCGATTTTGCTTATTGTTATTACTATAAATGCTGTTGTTCGTGTTTACCCAAACAAACACTAGCTGTCTTGCCTTTGTTGACTTAATAATGTCTAGGGAAAAAATGTAAAGGAATTAAAATGTAGAAAAAAAAAACAATCACAAACAAAAAGGATAATAAAGGACCAACCCAACTAAAAGTAAACTTTAATATGAGTACAATAGATACAACAACGGTAACAACAACAGCAAAACTAGAGGAAACAAAACTACCGGCATTTTTTTGTTTTTTCTGCTATTACAACAGCAATACTTTACTACAGTTTATAATAGTTTTGCCAGCCACTCTACTGCTGCTGCTGCTGCTAGTATTCACAACAACAAGAAAATAATCCACAACAATAAAAGGAAATAAGCAGAAGGATATGCTACACACACAGACAATAAAATATTGTACTCAACTACACTGCCAAACACTACAGTACTTTATTTCAGAGCTTAAGGATAAGCAAGTGTGTTTTTATGTGTGTGTAAGTATAAATACTTTTTGCATTTATATCTACATATATTCTTTTAATTTTTCAGACAATTTGTTGGCTCCAATAGTATTTTCTCAGTTGCAGTATAACTACGTAACACCAGCTGAAATCTCACCACTGCCTACACTTAAAAACTTATACACTCTTACACAACTTTTTCTTCTATTTTTTACATTATTTGTTTGCAAAATATTTATTTTTCTATTTTTAATTTTTATCTTTAATTTTATTATTTTTTTCTCTTCTTTCCTTTTTTCTAACAGGAATTCTTGTAATATTTGTATTTTCTTTTCACTTTGGTTTTTTTTCACACCGCCAATATCTAAATCAGGAAATCCGCTTACTTCCGTTTCCGCTTTGTTTTGTTTGTTTTCTTTCCTTTTCTATAGACAGTTTTGCCTTTCACTATTATGATAATAATTTTCTTTATAAATTTTCTTATTCTTTTTAGGCTTTTTCCTGTGTTGGGATTTCTTAGTTTTATTTCTTTTTTATAATTTAAATATTATTTTATTTTGAATTTATTTTTTCCCGTTTTGTCTTCACGGTTTAAGTTTCTGTTACAAACTGCTAACAAATTGATGTTGTCTTTTGTTTTTATACTTGTCGTAAGTTAGTCTTTGTACAACTTCTTGCAACTTGTTGTAGGTTGTGTTTTGTTCGTAACGCTTGTTTTATTTTGAATATTTCGTTGGATACAGAGACGTTGAAAGAAAACTAGGGAAACAAGTTTCCTCCCCTTTTATATAATAAGTGAGTTAAACGAAAAAGACCATTAATCTATAAAAATTTAAATTCTCTAAATTTTTTTAAAAAAATTAATATTTTCTAAAAATTATAAGCTTTCGAAAATTTTCAATGAAAAATGAGAATTTTTTATAAATTTTTTTTTTTTAAATTTTCTATAACAAACAACAATTTTCGAAAAATTTTCAAAAAAAATCTAAAAAAATAATTTTCTATAAAAAAGAAAAATTTCTAAAAATGAAAGATTTTCTAGATAATAAGAAATTTTTGAAAATGTTTGTAAAAAAAATGTCGATAATTTTCAAAAAATTAGATATTTTCCTTTTATTATATAAAATTTATTAAAAAAAAAATCATACATAAAAAAAAATTGCTATGTAATTTGAATGAGGTTACCTTCCCCTTGCCAACTGTTATGAAATTATCCTTTAAAGTAAAGGTTTGCAAGCAACTTCAAACATGTTTGCTGATACAGCACGTGTATAAATATTGTTGTGTGATTATCAATTCGGTTGTGTTTTCTGCTCCATATCTTTACTTTTACTTTTTTCTTTATTATTTAAACAATAAAAAAAAACAACAAAAATCAAACCGAAAATTAATACAGAAAAACAAAAAGAATTTTTATGAATTTGAAATAAAAGCGCTTAAATATCAATTAGAAGACCAATAATTAAAAGAAAAACGATATAATAAACAAATTGCAAACATTCCAATATCAAAGGATTTTGCTTAATCGAAATCAAATTAAATCGAATAATATTTAATATTAAATGGAAAGGTTGATTAATTTTGAAGGATTTTTGATGGTTGTGAATAAGTGGATAAATTCGTTGTACGCGAAATCTAGAACTCAACTAGAACTGAACTGAACTAGAACTGAACTGGAACTGAACTAGAACTGAACTAGAACTGAACTAGAACTAGAACTGAACTAGAACTGAACTAGAACTGAACTAGAACTGAACTAGAACTGAACTAGAACTGAACTAGAACTGAACTAGAACTGAACTAGAACTGAACTAGAACTGAACTAGAACTGAACTAGAACTGAACTAGAACTGAACTAGAACTGAACTAGAACTGAACTAGAACTAAACTAGAACTGAACTAGAACTGAACTGAACTAGAACTGAACTAGAACTGAACTAGAACTAACTAGAACTGAACTAGAACTGAACTAGAACTGAACTAGAACTGAACTAGAACTGAACTAGAACTGAACTAGAACTAACTAGAACTGAACTAGAACTGAACTAGAACTGAACTAGAAACTGAACTAGAACTGAACTAGAACTGAACTAGAACTGAACTAGAACTGAACTAGAACTGAACTAGAACTGAACTAGAACTGAACTAGAACTGAACTAGAACTGAACTAGAACTGAACTAGAACTGAACTAGAACTGAACTAGAACTGAACTAGGAACTGAACTAGAACTGAACTAGAACTGAACTAGAACTGAACTAGAACTGAACTAGAACTGAACTAGAACTGAACTAGAACTGAACTAGAACTGAACTAGAACTGAACTAGAACTGAACTAGAACTGAACTAGAACTGAACTAGAACTGAACTAGAACTGAACTAGAACTGAACTAGAACTGAACTAGAACTGAACTAGAACTGAACTAGAACTGAACTAGAACTGAACTAACTAGAACTAGAACTGAAACTAGAACTGAACTAAACTTGAACTAGAAACTGAACCTAGAACTGAACTAGAACTGAACTAGAACTGAAACTAGAACTGAACTAGAACTGAACTAGAACTGAACTAGAACTGAACTAGAACTGAACTAGAACTGAACTAGAACTGAACTAGAACTGAACTAGAACTGAACTAGAACTGAACTAGAACTGAACTAGAACTGAACTAGAAACTGAACTAGAACTGAACTAGAACTGAACTAGAACTGAAACTAGAAACTGAACTAGAAATGAACTAGAACTGACTGAGAACTGAACTAGAACTGAACTAGAACTGAACTAGAACTGAACTAGAACTGAACTAGAACTGAACTAGAACTGAACTAGAACTGAACTAGAACTGAAACTAGAACTGAACTAGAACTGAACTAGAACTGAACTAGAACTGAACTAGAACTGAACTAGAACTGAACTAGAACTGAACTAGAACTGAACTAGAACTGAACTAGAACTGAACTAGAACTGAACTAGAACTGACTAGAACTGAACTAGAACTAGAACTGAACTAGAACTGAACTAGAACTGAACTAGAACTGAACTAGAACTGAACTAGAACTGAACTAGAACTGAACTAGAACTGAACTAGAACTGAACTAGAACTGAACTAGAACTGAACTAGAACTGAACTAGAACTGACACTAGAACTGAACTAGAACTGAACTAGAACTGAACTAGAACTGACCTAGACTGAACTAGAACTGAACTAGAACTAACTAGAACTGAACTAGAACTGAACTAGAACTGAACTAGAACTGAACTAGAACTGAACTAGAACTGAACTAGAACTGACTAGAACTGAACTAGAACTGAACTAGAACTGAACTAGAACTGAACTAGAACTGAACTAGAACTGAACTAGAACTAATAGAACTGAACTAGAACTGAACTAGAACCTTGAAACTAGAACTGAACTAGAACTGAACTAGAACTGAACGAGAACTGAACTAGAAACTGAACTAGAACTGAACTAATAACTGAACTAGAACTGAACTAGGACTGAACTAGAACTGAACTAGAACTGAACTAGAACTGAACTAGAACTGAACTAGAACTGACTAGAACTGAACTAGAACTGACTAGAACTAACTAGAACTGAACTAATGAAGACTGAACTAGAACTGAACTAGAACTGAACTAGAACTGAACTAGAACTGAACTAGAACTGAACTAGAACTGAACTAGAACTGAACTAGAACTGAACTAGAACTGAACTAGAACTGAACTAGAACTGAACTAGAACTGAACTAGAACTGAACTAGAACTGAACTAGAACTGAACTAGAACTGAACTAGAACTGAACTAGAACTGAACTAGAACTGAACTAGAACTGAACTAGAACTGAACTAGAACTGAACTAGAACTGAACTAGAACTGAACTAGAACTGAACTAGAACTGAACTAGAACTGAACTAGAACTGAACTAGAACTGAACTAGAACTGAACTAGAACTGAACTAGAACTGAACTAGAACTGAACTAGAACTGAACTAGAACTGAACTAGAACTGAACTAGAACTGAACTAGAACTGAACTAGAACTGAACTAGAACTGAACTAGAACTGAACTAGAACTGAACTAGAACTGAACTAGAACTGAACTAGAACTGAACTAGAACTGAACTAGAACTGAACTAGAACTGAACTAACTGAACTAGAACTGAACTAGAACTGAACTAGAACTGAACTAGAACTGAACTAGAACTGAACTAGAACTGAACTAGAACTGAACTAGAACTGAACTAGAACTGAACTAGAACTGAACTAGAACTGAACTAGAACTGAACTAGAACTGAACTAGAACTGAACTAGAACTGAACTAGAACTGAACTAGAACTGAACTAGAACTGAACTAGAACTGAACTAGAACTGAACTAGAACTAGACTGAACTAGAACTGAACTAGAACTGAACTAGACTGAACTAGAACTGAACTAGAACTGAACTAGAACTGAACTAGAACTGAACTAGAACTGAACTAGAACTGAACTAGAACTGAACTAGAACTGAACTAAAACTGAACTAGAACTGAACTAGAACTGAACTAGAACTGAACTAGAACTGAACTAGAACTGAACTAGAACTGAACTAGAACTGAACTAGAACTGAACTAGAACTGAACTAGAACTGAACTAGAACTGAACTAGAACTGAACTAGAACTGAACTAGAACTGAACTAGAACTGAACTAGAACTGAACTAGAACTGAACTAGAACTGAACTAGAACTGAACTAGAACTGAACTAGAACTGAACTAGAACTGAACTAGAACTGAACTAGACTGAACTAGAACTGAACTAGAACTGAACTAGAACTGAACTAGAACTGAACTAGAACTGAACTAGAACTGAACTAGAACTGAACTAGAACTGAACTAGAACTGAACTAGAACTGAACTAGAACTGAACTAGAACTGAACTAGAACTGAACTAGAACTGAACTAGAACTGAACTAGAACTGAACTAGAACTGAACTAGAACTGAACTAGAACTGAACTAGAACTGAACTAGAACTGAACTAGAACTGAACTAGAACTGAACTAGAACTGAACTAGAACTGAACTAGAACTGAACTAGAACTGAACTAGAACTGAACTAGAACTGAACTAGAACTGAACTAGAACTGAACTAGAACTGAACTAGAACTGAACTAGAACTGAACTAGAACTGAACTAGAACTGAACTAGAACTGAACTAGAACTGAACTAGAACTGAACTAGAACTGAACTAGAACTGAACTAGAACTGAACTAGAACTGAACTAGAACTGAACTAGAACTGAACTAGAACTGAACTAGAACTGAACTAGAACTGAACTAGAACTGAACTAGAACTGAACTAGAACTGAACTAGAACTGAACTAGAACTGAACTAGAACTGAACTAGAACTGAACTAGAACTGAACTAGAACTGAACTAGAACTGAACTAGAACTGAACTAGAACTGAACTAGAACTGAACTAGAACTGAACTAGAAATGAACTGAAACGGAACTAGAACTGAACTAGAACTGAAACGGAACTAGAACTACTTTGTGTAGGGCACATCCTTTATTCCTGTTCTATGAACTCAAATTTTATTTTTTTTGTTGGTTTGATTTGTCTTC